GAGCGTTACATTGTACAGTGGCATAAAGTACAGTACCTCTTCGGGAATAATAGGCGTGATGTTATTTTATGTTATTTTATTGATCCACGCCCATTATAGGCATTTATGTACGTATATATTGAAAACTTAACTCTTTTAATATTGAATAATAAAGTACCATAAGATAGGTGTGTATAAAACACTGTATAATAATAATCAGCCTTCTATTTCGGACCTTTGGAGAAAAACAACCCTAGGTACAAAGTCATTAGGTGTATCATATCCTTCCTATAAATACGTTACGTTATAAATACGAAAGAGGATGTATGTATGTGTGTGTATGTGTGTTTGTTACTCTTTCATGTCAAAACAGCTGAAGGAATTACGAAGAAATTTGGAACAAGGATAGATGATGATCTGGAATAACACATAGGCTACCTTTTATTAAACGAGAACGCGGGCAAAGCCGTTTGCAGAAGCTTGTAAGTGCATATTGTTGGAAATAACTAGAAAGAGAGGAAAAAGGTAAATACACCACATATACCTGAGCATATACGTATGTATATTATATTTTAATAGCTGCATTGGCGTTGTTATTGTCTAAATATAACATTTGCATGTCTATAAAAGTGTCGCCAGTTTACACCTCCGGCGGTGTCGCGTCGCTTATCATGATATTCTCAGGGCGCACATTTAGAATTTATAATTAAACGCGTAGGTCGACGGGTTCCCGTCATAACTCCAACTTGCGACATATTTAAATTACAAACGTAAAAACCGCATCACAACTAATTCCACCGTGAATATTTCATTACTTTACTATGATAATTTATCTACCTACATTTGTGTTGTTAGAGAAAAGTGTGGATTGAAAGATGATGTAGTGACAAGGATTGAAAAGGGAATGTTACGCTGGTTTGGACATGTAGAAATGATGGATGAATGTAGAGTAACGAAAGAAGTGTACATAGCGGATATGAATGGGGCCCTAGACAGACATATAGTGACCAGATTAGCGATATATTAAAGAAGGGCCAAATTAAAAGTACCCTTAACCGACGAGCATTCATGAAAAGATTGATCACTGTTGATGAAGCGAAAGAGGTATGGAAAAATCGTAGTAATTGGCGTTCCCTAGTCTCTGCCTACCCCCTAGGGAGACAGGCATGAAGTTATTTTTTTTTTTGTAGCTGTTTATTTCTTTCAAAGACACATAATAGAAGTTGGTAGGTATACATTAATGTATATTTTTGAGATAATCAAACTTTAATTAACGTTTCTATGAAGAACTATACAGTATTTTAATAAAATCAAAGACTTTATGGTCAATATAATGCTCAATCCAACATAATGAACAGAATGAACAGTCGTTTCCGACTTACTGAGGCCAACGGAGACTCATAAAAGGATATAACAATGAAACAATATTTTCCAATATCTAGTAAATCTTACCTGATCGAAACCACAGGAAAAAACATAGGCCCATAATAAATTGTACCCAACACACCATAAAACTTTTTGTGCATTGAACAAAATTTCAGAGAAAAATATATGGTTATGGTGCGTGCGGTAATGGGAAACATACGTTGGATGAAATATGAAGTGTTTTTGTACCGAGTCCCTGGGATCGCGTTTTACGATAGATTGAAATAGTTTTCTAAATGGCCAAAGTTTTATATTGATAGCACTATTTTTATAATAATATAATGAAGAAATATTGTTCCCTTGTAAACCAACTTCGAGCCTTCATCCGCTTCACCGAGGGATAAAAATAAGAAGATTCAATCTTGGGTCAAGTATCAACAATTTGTTTTATTTAATTAGTTATCTATTTTAGTTGACATCACACTACGCTGTTTTTAATGTCAGTGAACTTAGCTGATCATTGTCCAGCAGATCAAAAATAAATGAGAGTTCTCATTGCATGCAGCTGAGTTCTATAGTTCCTGACACCTTTTAGAAATAGTTCCGGCGTTTTTACCTTAAAAAAGACAATTAAAAAAATGATCTGCCAACTTCCGGCAGCAGATCAATTTCTAGCAGATCATAAATAAACGTCAGTTCTTACTACATATAAGTTAGTTCTACAGTTCCTGATAATTTTTAGAAATAGTTCTGGCGATTTAACCTTAAAAAATTCAATTGAAAAAAAAAATCCAGCATACCAATTTCAGCACTTCAAATGATATTGTAAAGGGCTACAACTGGCCCAATCCCTAGAATTCTTTTGTTTCTCACAGAGTCGTATCAGAACTACAATTTGAAACTCTAATCGAGTCCAGAACTCTCTTTAAAGTGCCAGCAGAGCATGTCTGAAAGTGCAAAAAATCGAAATTTATCAATTTCAGCACTTCAAATGATATTGCACAGGGCTAGAACGGTTCCAATCCCTAGAACTCTCTAGTTTCTTACAGACTTAAATCAGACCTACAACCTAAAACTCTAATTGAGTCCAGAACTCACGTTAAAGTGCCAGCAGAGCATGCCTGAAAGTG